GATTCTTTCTCCTCTTAGATCATCAACTTTCATTTCAAAGATGTTTCTTTTCGCAATTAACGTTTCTTTATCAATAATATTTATTACTTACTCTCCATAACTTTCTTAATTCAATTGATATACAACATAACCAGCCTTTTTATCTGAAACTCCCTTCAATCGTCGACATTCACTCATACTGTAAACATTTTAAATTTGTCATCAATATAAACATCTATAATACTTTTAACCAATAACCACCATTCAACCAAGTATTAGACAAATACATAGTTACTTACTAAAAGTGCATATATGGTGCTATTGATTGCTTCGACTTTTCTTCTATCTCAGTAGTCGCTTGATCCTCGAAATCATCTTCTCGAAGAACAATTGACATGTCATTTGTTTTTTCTCTCACGTTATTTGTCCATGTAATGTCATCTTCTTCTTCCTTTTCATTCATCGCAATATAGATTTCAACAATATATCTTGTGATCTTATGATAAACAGTACTGTAAATGTAAATGTAACTGTTTTTCATAATCGATCATAGTCATAACTGATTATTATAGTAATCGATTATGTACAACCTATAATGTTATCTACAACCCAATGTTTTCCATTCAACCTATAATATTACATTCTACTTGTTTTACTAACCCCTATTATTTTCCATTCATTCAACCTATAACAATAATCGATTCATCATATTGCATCTTTTTCCTATAAATTAAACCCTAATCCCTAAATCAAACTTCATTAATTGAAAAAAATTACAAACTAGGGTTTCACTAACATACCTCTCTATTCTTCAAATTACGATTTCAGTTCAGTTCTTCAGTATTAATGTCTATTGCTAAGATGGAAAACATATTCTAAAGACAAAAACTCTTTATTCTCTTCTCTAATATTGGCCTTTACCTTCTCTAAACCGATTATATTATCTATAAATTCTTGATAGTACTTTTCCCTATGTATCGAAATATGTGAAAAAAATTGATACTTTTAAATCCTTATCGTTTTCCTTCTTTTTTTAAATTCGAAAGTATTGATACTTGGGAGAAAAGGTATTGATATAATCGGTTTACAACAGAAAATGTTATATCTAGAAGACTAGAAATCATAAAACTTATACGTTACTATAATAATAATGGTTGAAAAATTAACTGTTACCCTTCTAACGGTCACAAAATAAGTTAAAAACGTCAATGTTATTAATATAATTAACATTTTCGATTGGGTCTTGAAATGTTACCAGATTTTAAGATGACGCGGCCTTATTCATTCAGACGACAACAAAATAAGTTGGTTGTTATCTGAATAGTAGGTTACGATATGAAATGTTATAAACTTAGAAAATATCGATATTCTTTAAAAAAAATATATCGATACTTACCAACAACATAACTTACCCGATTAAATCATTTAAATTATTTTAAAATACTTGCAATCTAATAAATTAGATTTAATTCAATATTATCAGTAGTGGTAAACCTATTATGTTACTTTCCTTTTAAATTTTTCGGTTGAGTAATTTTTAACCTTATATTACTCTGTCGTTCCTTAGAATTAGCCTCAAATCTGGGTCATTTAGAAAAAAACTACATTCTTTTTTATTCTTAGGACTGTACTTAAGTTTATAGTTGTCAAGAAAAGTTACACAAAAATGGGGCATTTCTTAAGTGCTCCCATTAAAAATGTTACTACCTTGTGGTGCAATTAGTTGTATAGTCAGTACTTAAGAACAATTGTTTGTAGATGTACGAGTGTCATTCGCTTTGAGATCTTTAAGAAATATAGTATTAAACATGTACAAACAGTGACAGAACTATGTATAATTTTAGGGGTTATTTATCTTCAATTTTTTATTATTATAAAATATAATAATTAATATATATTTAAATTTTCAAAATTTATTTTATTTTGATTTTACTTCTTTCAATTTTGTTATGAATTATACTTTTCCTATTAAACTAGAATCTTAGTTCTGCCTCGTGTACAAATTAAATTAAATCTCTAGAAACATAAATTTATATTACTCATTTATCACAACATTTGACTTTGATGTTATTTTCTTGGATAAAAAAACATTTACATCAACTAATAGTTATCTAAGCTTTTTTCATTATTTTTAAAAATTATTCTGTGAATGGTAATATAATTGTTTATCGTTGTCAATGGCATCTAAAGTCCCTGTACTACATATCCCAGCAACAATTTATCTGGGAAAATATGAAAAACCAATCTCGTCGATTGCTTTCATTGATACTAGACCCGCAGAAACAATCATGAATCCAGAAATACTCAATCCAGAATGGTGGAAACCTCATACTAGATACTTCAATTATGCAGCAGACCAGACCTTTGCAATTCATCTCATCAGCAAGCCTATTACTATTCAAATTTTTCCCAAGGATGTTCAATTACGACTACAGTTCTCGGATCACAACTTATTGGAAAAGATTTGGTTGTAGGTTTTGACCTATATACCAAGGCAAAACACCTGAGAATTCTACCTAATGGTCTTAAATATAAACAAATGTTTAAGCCATTTGTAGAAATTTCCAGATTATATTTGATGGAGACCAAGGAGAAGATTTCTTGTGCTATAGCAGAACTTAAGTCAAGAGCTTGTGCAAAATCACATGAATAATTCTTGTCTAAGTGTGATCATCGTGGAAAAATTATGAGTTCTTCATACAGTTACCATTCAAGAAGAATGAAGATATTAAATCAACCAAAGCCAGCCATTCAAGAAGAATGAAGATATTAAATCAACCAAAGTCGGGCATTCAAGAATGAATATATTAGCTGATCCTGTTCCCATATGTAATGTGGTAAGGGGAGGTAGGGTAGTAGGCTGCCCCCAACGCCAGGTTGAGAGCAGTTTCCGTGGAAGACCTCCGACAGTCAGAATTATGAATTGCCCACCGTAAGACTCGATCCCAAAACCACAAGGTTAAGAGCCTTGCGCTCTACCGAAATAGAATGTAATAAGCTCATACAACAAGAATTGATTGAACCCTTCAGATTCACAATGGACATGTGAAGCTTTTTATGTCAACAAGAGGTCTGAACAAGCACGAGGAAAGCTGAGACTTGTCATAAACTATCAATCTCTTAATCAGTTCCTTCAGGATGACAAATTCCCATTGCCCAATAGAAACATACTGTTCTCAAGCTTGGCCAATGCCCATATCTTTTCAAAGTTTGAATCTTAAAGCTGGATTTTGGCAATTGAGTATAGCCCTACAGAAAGGCCTAAGACAGGATTTTGCATTCAAAACCCCCACTGTCAGTGGAGGCCCATAATGAAAAGTGCTCTTATCTATATCGATGCTATTCTCCTGTATAGCCCAGATGAAGAATCCCATCTCAAATTACTATATTAAATAAATGATATGTCATTCCAATAAAAGAATTAAAAATTTTATTTGGTCTTGAAATTATAATTGGGTAAATTACATATTTAAACCAAAATTATTAGTTTTGGTCTATTTTAGTATTTAAATTTTCAATTTTTTTAAAATCATACATAACATTTAATTTTTGTTTTATTTTAGTATCTCGTCGTTAAAAATTTAACAACACTACATTTTTAAGGGTAAATTATATCATTCATCACTCAACATCTTCTCACTCCTATTTTGGTAGTAAAGTTTAATTTTTTTATTTAACTACTCAACTTTTAAAGTGCTCTTATTTTAATCACCCTAATTTATTTTATTAATATTTTTTGTGACATGACATTTTTATTATTATTTTATTATATAATTTAAAAAATAAAAGAAATAAATTTTAAAGACAGAGTGATTAAAGTAGGAGTAATTTAAAAAATAAGTAATTAAAATAAAAAATTTAAACTTCAGTGATCAAAATAGGAGTGATTAGTTAGTTGAGTGATGAATGATACAATTTATCCATACAAAAGGTGTCACGTGTAAATTACCCATTATGTTTTTAACGGCGAGGTACTAAAACGAAATAAAATTTAAACATTAGGTATGATTTTAAAAATTTTAAAAGTTTTAAGTAGTAAAACGGATCAAAACTAATAAATTAGATACTAAATGCATAATTTACCCATTATAATTAAAGTATCAATTTAATTAGTTTTTAAAAAGGAAAAATTAAAAATATTTAAAATGAAAAAATGTTTTATAAATTATCATAAAAGAAGATAGAAAAGTGTCTCGTTCGACTCTGACCTTTGATATAAAGAATAGACGCGACAGCTCTACGCATTAAATGTTGGACGCGGTATCTGGATCATATTATAGGGAAATGTTCAAATAAAAACAATGCTGTGCTGGACACACTGATGCCTCATCCAATTTTGCCCTTTGTTGCTTTCCTATAATTGACGTGATACCTATTTAGCTAGTTTTAAACTGATATTATTATTTTTTTGTTGCAGAAGATATTGTAGTTTAGAGAGTAATTTTATTTTAATTGGATGTTATTATTTTATTTAAAAATTAGACCCTCATTTTATTACCAAACCTCATTTGAAAAAGCATACCAAATTTGAACATATGATATAATAAAATATGCTTTAAAGATTTGATTTGCCACCATTACAACTTTATTATACCCTTATTACATGGCTTTAATTGGAATTGATTTCATTTTTTTATGCCATAAAGAAGGAGAATTACGGAGCAAATTTAGGAACTAGAAGAAATAAAATGTAAACCTGCTTGAGTTTGATGCCTTTTCGTAGCATCATTTTTTAAAGGAAAATAAAGAATAAATATAATGATGAGATATATTACATATTTTTAATAGTTTTGGTTTATTTATTGGACTTTGTTACTAAATTTTTAGATATCTTAGTTTTACGCAATAAAATTTTGCATTGTATCTGACGGTCTATTATTGTTTATCGTCAATTATTACAAAATCAATACTAAAAAGTTCACATTAACATTAAAATATAATAATATTTAGTGTAGTTTATGCCAAATGTAATTGCTGGAACATACTTGATTAGATTATATTGTTAGTGAAAGTGGTTTCAAGACGAAGGGTAGTGGATATCATTGATATGTCGCCTTCCTCAATCTGAAAAAGGTTAAAAGCTACAATCTAACATTGTTTTTTTCCTAATATCTGGATCCTGCTTCCTTCCCAACCAAGGCAAAATGTCACAACTTTCATTAATCCCACCACGTGATCACCTCCTCCACCGACAGCACCAGCACCTCCTCCTCCTCTTCCTCCTCATTTCCCCCAACAGTGCTGCCCCTTCCTCTGCCGCCTCCACAAATTACAAAAGATTCAAAGAAGCTCCACAGTTTTACAACTCTCCAACCTGCCCTTCCATCGGCACAGACGATATGTGCACTGATCAAGCTGTTCATGTCGCCATGACCTTAGACGCTGCCTACTTACGTGGCTCAATGGCCGCCATTTTATCCATCCTGCAACACACTTCTTGCCCTCAAAACATCCTCTTCCACTTCATTGCCTCCGCCACCGCTGATTGCGACCACCTCCGCCTCACGATCTCCCGCTCTTTTGCTTCCCTCTTGTTCCAAATCTACCTATACGACTCAAAAGCAAAGTCGGGCCACATTTCCACTTCCATCCGCTCGGCGCTCGACTGCCCTCTCAACTACGCTCGCATCTACCTCCCCAACCTCCTTCCTAGTTGCCTACGCCGAGTCGTGTACTTAGACTCCGACCTCATCCTCGTCGATGACATAACTAAACTCGCTGCGACACCGCTCGGAGACAACTCGGCTTTAGCGGCACCGGAGTACTGCAACGCCAACATCACGTCCTACTTCACCCCAACGTTCTGGTCCAGCCCTACACTGTCCTTAACATTCTCGGCCCGCAGGGCTTGCTATTTCAACACCGGGGTGATGGTGATAGACTTGCAACGATGGAGTGCGGGGGATTACACAAGGAAGATCGTAGAATGGATGGAGGTTCAAAAGAGGATGAGGATATACGAGTTGGGGTCATTGCCGCCGTTCTTGCTGGTGTTTGCAGGGAAGATAGCGCCGGTTGAGCATAGATGGAACCAACATGGGCTCGGGGGAGACAATTATAGAGGACTGTGTAGAGGTTTACATGCTGGTCCGGCTAGTTTGTTGCATTGGAGTGGGAAAGGGAAGCCATGGGTCAGGCTCGATGCTAATAGGCCTTGTCCTTTGGATGCTTTATGGGCTCCTTATGATCTTCTGCAAGCAACCTCTGCTTTGGAGTCTTAGAATTTTTTATGTATATTTTACCGGTAAATCTATTTACTTTTTTTAGGTTCAATAGTGCCACTAAATCTTTCACTCTTGCAGATAGTGTAGATTATAACATCTTACTGCCAATATTTACATGACAAAAAGGATAATTTTTTTTTTGTAGTGGACCAAATTTATCACTTTCGCTCTTGTAGTATTTTCACATCAATTTAACCCTTAAAGTTGTTCAATTGCGTCATTTTATACTTACCCCTAACTTAAAACCTAAATTATAAATCCTAAACCCTAAACTATTACTACATATCCTCTAAACCATAACTACATAACCTTTAAACCTTAAAACCTTAAGGTTTTAAGTTAGAGGTAGATTATAAAATGATGAAATTAAACAACTTTGAAAGCTAAATTGATGCGAAAATACGATAATGACGAAAATGATAAATTGAGTCTACTACAGGAACAAATGTGACCCTTAAGATTATTTATATTCATATAGGGTAGATTAAATATGTATTTGTGTATATGATTAAATCTTTTATATTTATACTTGTTCACAATAGTTTTAGATACATAATTCTTGAATTGTGATAGAGTTATTTGTCAATGTGTCGTTTTTGTTATATTCAATTTTATATTAATGTTGATTGTATTTTATCTATTGATGTTGATTGTAGTATTTGTTTGTATCTTCTATTTTCTCAAAATGTTTGATTTAGTTATATTTAATTATTTTTGTATGCTTTTATCTGAATTATTTTGTAGTTAGTGTATTTTTATATTAATTTGATTAGTCTATTTTATTTTTTAAAACTTATTGTGGTTTTATTATATTTTCTCCTAATGTTTTTTTTTAATAAAACTAATAATAGAGTTGTTATATCTCTATAGTTATTAATCTTTTATTTTCATATAAAGGGTTGCAAGAATCCGGGCATTGATTGTGAAATATGAAAAACTATGATGTTGGTCTAATTGAAGTGTGCCTCACAATTCAAGAGATTTTGGATTACATGCACATGATTTCCAATTCTTCCACTACCCCATTGGTTTCTTATTAATATATTTCTCAGAGCTTCTATATTTGAATAGGCTAACCGGTAACTAGAAGCCTACAGGCTACAACATCATTTACTGCAAACAACTTTAGCTCTTTTATGGGTTTTGTTTGCTTTTTCTTATTGTCTTGCCACTAAGCTTGTTTGCTATTGTTTTTAACTTTGTAGATTATTCCTTGATTTACGTTAGCTCAATTTTACAAAGACTTCTCACAAGGCCAATGCGTATTTAAATGGTTCTTAGATTTTCAAATGACAAACTGAATCCCATTGAACTTGATGACATTTTTAGTTTATTTATCTAATAGTGCAAGCAATTAATTAATTCCGAAACTTTATTCGGACAAATAGGTAGGTCATGCGAACTTTACTCATCATTTAAAAGACATGGTCAAAATTTACAAAAGGCACCTATATTATTCGTTTTCTTACAATTTGACCTAAAATTGGTTGGCTTTTTAATTTCTAATGGACAGGGGTCAATGAATTTTGGGTCCCTTTAGGAAGTTGCCATGCAATTTCCTTCCACCAAATTTATACGTTATATATTGTTATATATTAATATCTCGTCTTCTACCTTTCTCTGCAAGTTCCCTAAACCACTCCAAAAAAAGCATCTATTTAGGATTTCGATCTTAGCCAATAACTTGCCTTTGAAACTAAATGGCAACCGCTAAAGTTTCCAAGACTTCCAAATGGTTCTTAAACAAGACCCTTAGGTTAAGCCTTCACCGCCGTCGGTCCAAGTCTAGCTCGACCTCAACCTCTCCCGAATCATTGCCGTCGCCTCCTCATAAATCCTCGAAAAGGCCTCACGAGGAGATGAAAGAAGTGTTTCGCTATTTTGACGGTGACAAAGATGGGAAAATCTCCGCTCTCGAACTTAGGGCATACTTCGGGTCCATAGGAGAGTACATGTCACATGAAGATGCTCAGCTGGTGATCAACGAACTCGATTCCGACGGGGATAGCATGTTGGACTATCAAGACTTCTTGAAGCTGATGAAAGTAGATAACAGTGACAACGACGATCTGAAGAATGCGTTCGAGATGTTCGAGTTCGAGAAAGGTTCGGGTTGCATAACTCCGAAAGGGTTGCAAATGATGTTGAATCGCCTTGGGGACGCCAAGTCTTATGAGGAGTGTGTTGCAATGATTCGGGTTTATGATATCGACGGTAACGGGGTGCTTGATTTTCATGAGTTTCACCAAATGATGGCTTAATTCGATAGTGTACGTACAAGTTCATGCCTTTAATTAAGCAATATATTATCCATGAGATTCGCAAGGCCATTGCATGTAATATAAATACATGTGCACAAGAATCTGTGCCCTAACCAGTAAAGTACGTACGAGTTTAGGTGTAAAACATAGAGCATTTAAAAAAATCAATGGCTCTCTTTGCTCTTAAGACAATGTGAGGGTGCAAAGTTGAACACTTGTATTTGTATAACAAATAGCACATATTCCCCTCACCCCTTAATAATACAAAGAGAGTTGAAATTTGAAAATAAAAAAAATTGATTCTTTTTATATTCGGTTTGCCTATTTTAATTATTGATTTTTATTAGATGATGTGAAATGTTAATAGAAAGGTTATTCCTTAATTTAATCTCTAAATTTTTAAAATTTTATTTTTTTCAACCTCTTAAAAAATAATTTTATGTTGTCTCGGTCAAATACCACACGCCTCTTATTCAAATCTCAACCCTTCGCACTCTCGTCGACGTTCATCTAAACTTCTAAAGCCCTACATTCCCTTTGCTTTTATCACTTTGTGTGTGAAAATAGAGCATATCAAACAAGATCATTGACATGACAATATGAGTGGGCACGATAACCCAAAGGTGAGGATTGGTTGGATGAATCAGGACGAAGGTATGATGGGGATAAAGGTAGAGTTTTGGCTGACCATAAGTTAAGGATGTTGGATAGAATGCGAGCAGAAGTCCACATCTTCTAACTTTAATCTTAAGCATCATCTTTGATGTTATTGTCATCGTCGTTGGTCATCATATATTGTCCGTTATATAAATTCTAATCCATTCACACTCTCATTATTGTTCGTTAAATCCTAAATTTCAACAATTCCAAATCCAGTAATCCCTTTATTTCATCACGTCGTGTGTGATAGCAAGACACATCAAATTAGATCATTGGTGTATAACCTAAAGGAAAATGATGTTGGTGATAGAGTTTTTGTAACCCCCTTAAGTGTTGGAACCGTTGGCACACCCCATGGTGTAGTAGAAACAAAACTTGATGGTCTCACTAGTGATCCATGTACGATAAAACCAAAAATAGGAGGAAAGAGATATGATTACTTACATTGGGTTCCTTGAAAAATAACAAGATTGCAACAACAGTAATAGTTATCATGAACAATTTGAATCGCAAGCCTCCACGAAAATGTCTCGACCTCTACTTGGTTCACCTGATTGAGAGCAAATATTTTTTTAACTTTTTCTCAAAAACCGTTTTGAGAAAATTTGCTAAAAGATCAAGAAGCAAGTGTAACGCCCCGAATCTGGGGTTAGAAGTTTTGGACTAACTCGAGATGGCCCTTAGGTTAATTTCTAACTTGTAAGAGGTTTTAATCCAAATTAAAGTGGATTGGGCTTGAGGTAAGCCCAATAAGGAGTTAAAAGGGGTGTTTTTAATCTACAGTCAGAATTAGAATGACCAAGGTAGCAATTCTACCTTTTAAAATTTCAAAAGGTTGAAATATTTAATTGCTTGGTGAGATCACGTCTGATACATCATATTTTTCTCAACTCTTTATTGTCTCTTATTCCTTTTTAAATCTTCATATTCTTTCTTCTTCTCCTTTAAGTTAAGCAAGTTAAAGGTGATACATTTGGAACCTGACAACCCTAGTTCATCAATACTAATGTAAAGAGTGAATTTATCATCTTTAGAGCTTTCTTTTGAACCCTCAACTTCACTATTTCACTATGGGAGCCAAGAACATGTTTTTGTGGGGTTTAAGAGTTTTCAAGATTTCAGTCTGTTTTCAATAATCCATAGGTTTAGGAAGTGTTCTTATTACATTCTTAACCATTTCATTCATCTATTAATCTATCCCTTGATGTTTGTCTAGTGAGAGAGATTGGAGAAAACTCCAAAGCTAAAGGGAATGAGAAACTTAACCTTTTCAGTAGTTTAGCATCAAAGGTAACTCACTTTTGACTCAACTATACAATGTGTAAGTCATTTAGATGAAATGTAGTAGATTGCTTGAGCTTGAACCACTCCCATGGTAGATTTCATGTTTTAGAGTTATAAATATGTTTAAAGCCCTATTTATGATCCTTTGTATTTACATAAAACATTAATAATGTTTGGGGATATCACTAAGGTCTTTGGGATAGAATAATAGGAGTTTTTATACCTATTTTATGCTCTCTGCAGGTTGAGTTTTGATACTATAGGGATAATATCGAAACTTGTTCTTCTACTCGGGCAAACTCATGAGTTTCTGGGCAAGAGTATCGATACTTTAGGTCATATTTTTGAAACTCCCAGAAAGTATTGAAACTAGACGATCAAGAATATTTAAAAGTATTGATACTTGTAGAAAGTATAGAAACTTTTGCAATAGTATCAATACTCTAGGGCTAGTATCGATACTTTTAGTATACTTTGGACAAAAATGTCAGTTTTTAAGGGAATTAGACTCAAGGTACCCCAACACTTAATTATATCCTCAAATAAGACTTCAAGCGAGAGCAATAATTAATACCAGAACAGTAGAAATAAAATATAGCTAGGTTTACATAAAACTAGCCTTATTTGACGATCGGGAAATAATCAGGACACCTGAGTTCCTTTTACCAGAAATAGGACAGTCAATGGATCCAAGTCAGTGCTACGATACTTCATCAACCGATTGGGCGCCAGATGTCCCAAGACTCAACGGAGTAAGTCGGTGGGTGCACATTTCCGATGTAGAATTTCGGATCTCACCTAGAAGTACCCGATGGTTCTTCAGTAGTGCTAGGGGTGAATTAGCTCTGAGATGCAGAATCCCTCAATCGTACTATGATACGAACCATATATTAGTATTACAAT